AAGAAAATCTCATCCCAGAAACAACTCCTCTCATAGAAGAGTAAGAGAGAAAACACAGAGAAAGATTGTGAGAGTTCTTGGAGTGTATCTGATCAAGAGAGGGTGTTCTCTTTGATCTATTCTTTTGGGATATAAAAGAATTTGGCGTCGTCGTTGCACCGTGGAGTAGCTCCGAAGGAGTGAACCACGTATATCTGTGAGTACTCTGGTTGATCTTGTGCCTTTATTTTGTGTATTGCGTCTCCGTTAGAGGCGTTCTTATTGGGGTGTATCCTAACAGTTAGGATTTTCGGAACTTGCAAAAGACCAAAAATCACAAATACGCATCAAGAAAATCACACACAATGTTTAACATGGAAAACTATCAACAGGAAAAACCCATGCGATTAAAAACAATCCACTATCACCACCAACTTATTATCTATTGCACGGACAAAGACGGTGAAACCCTCTCTCTCACAATACCCTTAAACCTAGTTACACCCTCTATTAAACCCTGATTACAAGAATATTGCCTCCCCCTCTCTCCTTGCTGAAAAACACTAGAATAGAATGTCTTATTTGAAAACACCCCTGACTTACCCATCAAGTCAAATTGGCCTCTAACAAAACTATCAGGATTGGGCCTAGCTTTCAAATCCAAATCCAACTTGGAGTTCGAGTCAGGACCAAATAGAGGAATCCCTAACCATTGATATCTAAGAATTCTCAAACTGGCTAAAGGCACTAAGTATCACGATCATAAGCTCAAATCCCACAATACCACAAAGTTCAGTCTCTCTGGGTAAAACCAACAAATACCTGCTGTGCATAGCACATGGACAACCTAGGACAGTGCAATTAAAGCCATGAAATCCAAAACAATTAGATACCGCTCCAAAAGGGGAAGTTCTGATGGCGGGAACTGAAGCTGATCTTGTCCACTTCCGCTGTTATTCCTCCTCTTCGTCCTCTTCTTCTTCCTCCTCTTGATTCGATACTGAGAAACTGCCGGTGCCGGCCATGGTGATGCCGTGGGGGCCACATTCACTCGCGAAGCGGCGGCGGGCGGCGGAGATGCCGCCGTGTTTCCGCCTGGTCGTCGACATTCGAGGATGATCTCGGAGACAGAAGAGAAAGATATCACGGAGCACCTCTGAGAATCGTAAAGTGATTTTATAATTTTTTTTCACTGAGGTTTGTGGTATAAAAAGTAGGTTTATTTGCAGTTTTGTACCTTGTTAGGTTAAGGGAATATAGTATAAATTAAGGAAAGTTAAGTGAATATATAAAAGTTATTTGAAAAATTAGTAAGAAGGGAAATTTATTTCACCCTTTTTGGGAAGTCTAACAAAGTGAAGTGAATGTAAGGAAATATATGTAAATTTACAAGAATAATGTGTCCTCTGCCTTCCCTTTGCTCAAGTTATCCCCAATCCAAATATTTATTAGATAATGGACCGAGATATATTTTTAAATTTAGTTGTTGGATCTTTTCCAAATCATCGCATAATGAACCAAGATGCACCATTGCAGGATTTTATTAGTATTACAAATATGGAGAAATTTTTGAAATAAACTCATTTAACAATTTATTCATAAAAATCATCCCAATTCATTTTTATTTACAAAAATCAACCATGTTAGCCTTAATAGTAGTGTTGGCTAAAACTATGTCAATTTTAAAAAAGTTTTTTTTCTAATTAATCGGGGTTGGCAACCTCATTCAATTAAAGCATAGTTAAAATTGATGGAGTTGACAACCCTGGCTATTTCGATCTTAGTTCAGAATAGTCAAGGTTGCCAACCCCTAGTATTTTAAACATGGTTTAAAATAGTAGAGGTTACAACCCTAACTATTCTGAACTAAGTTCGAAATAGCAGGGGTTTTCTAAACTCGACAATTTTGCAGTGACTCATTTTTATACCTCTCAAGACCAAATTTTTGATTAGGTGTGTATAATGTAGGCGTAAACTACTCAACTCCCAAATGAATCACTTAGGCCTCGTTTGGTAGACGGGAATGGGGTGGAATGGAATGGCATTCTCACTTCCCATTCCTTCATACCAAACAAACCAACTTTTTAGATGTTGGAATGACCATTCCCAGGGAATGACCATTCTCACTTTTTGTGGGAATGGGCATTCCAAGTGAGAAGATAGGGAATGGTCATTCCCATTCAAGAGAGAATCAAATCAGTTATTTATTTTTTAATTATACCCCTATTAATCAACTGATTTCCATATTAGTAATTCTGACATCCTTTTCATATGCAATATGCATCAACTGTGGATATCATTCTTTATATTTTTTTGGACCTATGAAAGATGCGATAATCTTTTATTTATTTTTCTTTAATTTTTTAAGACTAAGAAATAGTGAGTATTGTTTAAAAAATATAAATAGAACATACACTTGAGAGATAACATGCGCAATAGTATAACATGCACAGAAATTAGTATAACATATGCATAAATAAAATTGTTTAGTTATTATCATTAATGTTTATTTTTATCTTATTAAAAATATATGTTGTTGTAAGGACATTATTAGAAAATGCGATTCCATTCTCACTTGTGGACAAGTGATACCAAACATGGGAATGAGAACGAGATTTTCATTCTAGCCTCATTCTACAAAAGTACCCAAACATGAGAATGGGAATGACCATTCCATTCCCACATACAATCCATTCCATTCCTTCTTCCATTCCATTCTCACTTATGTCCATTCTCGCGTACCAAACGAGGCGTTAGGTTATAAGTTTGTATTTACTTTCAGGGTTGATTCTTTTAATGGCATCAAGATAATGAGGAAGTGTCGTATAAGACTTTTTCCAATCACCAAAGATTTTTGTCATTACCAATCGCATTTATTGTACACATTTAACTAAATTTTTAAACTTGCGAGGTTTAAAAATGAGTTCCTACAATTGTCAGGGTTGGCAACACCGACTATTTCGAACTTAGCTCATAATAGTCGGGGTTACCAACCCCTACTATTTTAAGCATAGTTCCACAGTTCAAAATATACAGGGTTCCCAACCTCGTCAATTTTAAGTATCTTTCTAATTAAACGGGATTGTCAACCCGATTAATTAGAAAATAGCGTTTTTTTAAAACCAAACCAGTTTCAGCCAGCATTGCTTGTGGCTAAAACCGGGTCAAATTTTTTTTAAAAAAATGGGTTGGGTCAATTTTTATAAATAAATTGTCAAATGAGTTTATTTCAAAGAAACTCTCCTATCAATATTTATCACTATTCTTATTATTATTACAGATAAGAATTTCCCATGACAATTTATGATTTCTTGCAATGCCACATAAATTAAACCGCAGTTTTAACAAGTTAATCCTGATTGTAATTAAAAAAAGAACATATATAGCAATATTTACCGAAATATATCGAATCCACATAGTTTCAACAATCGCATACACAAGTGCAAGATATTCAACTCCGGTAGATGATTTAGAAAGAGTAGGTTGCTTCTTAGAGCACCAAGAAACAAGATTAGGACCAAAAAACATCGCATAGCCTGAGGTGGAGTGTGAGCTATCCGGACAACCAGCTCAGTCCATCCGAGTATGCAACAACAAGAGAGGGGCCCGTAGCCTTGCGAAGAGATAAATCACGATCTGTGTGGCCTTGAAAGTGTGAAGTTGGCTGAAAGTACATTTCTACCACTTTGACAGCATGTCGATGAGTGGTTTGAGGAGCATGCATAAACCGAGATACAACGTGAATAGCAAAAGCAATATTTAGCATTGTCGTTGTAAGATACCGTAAAGCACCTATCATACTTCTATATTCAGATGAATCCGCTAATAATTCACCATCAGTTAGAGATAATGTGGTCTTAGCTATTAATGGAGTGTGAACAGGTTTCAGTGTGTGAAGATAGAGTTTTTGGGGGAGATCCTAAACATATTTATGTTGATATAAGAAAGAGTGATCAGAAGTACGAGTAACTTGAACGCCCAGGAAATAATGAATATCACCAATATCTTTCAAAGCAAATTGAGCAAATAGTAAACGAATAAAGCAACGAAGAAGAGAAAGTGAATTTCCTATATATGAGAAAAATATCATCAACATACAGAAGAAGTGTAAGAATATCTGACCCACTGTGATAAATGAACATTGATGTATCAATTTGGCTATAATGGAAGCCAAAGGAAAGAAGAAAGCTACTGAATCTATGAAACCAAGCACATGAAACCAAGCACATGGAGCTTGTTTTAACCCATAGATTGCCTTGTTTAGTTTACAAACATGGTTTGGAAAAGTAGGATGTACGAAACCACAAGGTTGTTTCATATATACTTCATTAGTTAGAAAACCATGAAGAAAGGTATTTTTAACATCAAGTTGTCAAACAATCCAACTAGAAGAGAGAGAGAAAGAACAAGTCGATAGTAGTTGGTTTAACAACTGGACTAAAGGTTTTATGAAAAGCGATGCCAACTTACTCATGAAAACCTTGAGCAACCAATCTAGCTTTATACCATTCCACGAGTTATATTTTATTTTGTAAATCTATTTACAACCAACCAAATTTTTCCGTTCATCAAACAGAACTAATTTCCATGTGTTATTTTTAATGAGTGCATTAAATCCTTCCACCTAGGGTTAACCGAGTACAAGGGTGTACTTTTTGGTTTAACATCAAGTTGTCGCTCATATGCACTATTATTTTAGTTTTCTTAAAGATTATATATATTTTTCTTACACCACATTATATCAATTTCCAAGTATTATTATTATTATTCTTATTATTTTCTACGGGGGTTGGGAGGCTTAGTATTTAAATGAACCAGACTGCTAAATAAATTTACCTAGTATAAGACTATCATTTGGTGCATGATTTCACATTACATTTCAAGAAAACGTCATTTCAGGCTGCTCAGTATTTGTGGCTATGACAGTATTCTATGGAGAGACAACCACCCTGAGACAGGACTACTATAAATTTGAACTTTGTGCCTTTAAAATAAAAGAAAACTATGTATTTTTGATAATTGGCCTATTAGCTCAGATGGTTAGAGCATTGTTCTAACGACACGAAGGTCGCAGGTTCGAGGCCTTCATGGGCCAATATTCACTCATGTTTAAGAAATGACTTTTTCTTTTTTGGTTCCCGGTATTTGATTGATTTGTTATAGGAACTGACATGTTGATATTCTGTAGATTTTATTAATTTTTGGTTTTCTTTGTATGCTAGAGACTCTAATCTCAGGGTCAGTTTTGTGAGTTAGAGGTGTTTGAGAAGCTGGGTATGAGATGATACTCTGCTCAGGGTTTTCAGGTTGCGAGGGTGCTTATGTGTATTACCAATACCAGGTATATAAGCCTGGGTTGCAATATGTGATCTCTTGGGTTTTTGTGGATGAATGAATTGAGTAGCTAGGCTCAATATTGATGAATAAGAATATATAAGCAAAACTGGTATTGTCTTAAGTCCTAAATGCTATCCTAACTCACTTCCTACAACATATTTTAATTTGTTGTTTTCAGAACTTCATGGGTTGGCTCCAAGGATATAGATCCTAACATTTTATTGATCAGAAATTCTTACTATGTATAGTCGAAATATTACTTTCATTTTCCTTTAAAATTAATTTTGATCATGCTAATTACTGCGTGAGAGTACTTACCTATGGCTTTTGATGTCTGCGGGCAATGTTATAGTACTCTTCCTATTATGTAGATTACACGTACTAAAGATTTGATCATCATAAACATCTACTTGTTTTATGTTCAAGATAATTAATTTATCTTCAATTAAGTAGAAAAAGAAGACCTTCTCGTTGGATACTTTCAGTGATCCTAGATTTTTTATGATCACTTCAACATCGTGACAGGTTTTTAGTTTTTACTATAACAATATTGGACACTAGTTCTTTTATATATGGCTTTTTGGTTGCAGAAAGAAAACTGAGAGCAATATTGTAAGAGTACAGATTGGATATAAAGGCTATCTGTAGAGTATTATTTGGTTGATCCTATCAAAAAAATTGATGTATATATATAGTATATCTTTCGTGTAGTCATACTCGTTCGACCAAAAGAAAAACCCAAATATGGTAGGAAGGTTTAAGTTTCTGACTCATGTAAATAGTTCGGCGCCACATAATTAATTTGTCAATTAAAACTTGCCTTAATTGACATGTCAATCTCGAAAATGTATCATAACAGTCTACATCTAATTAGTTATTACAATCATAATTGGCTTTTATAACATAATGTTGCGCGATGCGATACCTTCTAGATAAGATCACGTGTGAAAATGATTCTACGTCAAGCTCATGCAGTTTATCATCTACAATTTCCATAAATTCTGGTATTGCATGGTCATAATATCCTTTTGAATTCAGTTTTTTTTTTCCCTTTCATATAAGCACAAATATAATTCACATGGATTACATCTCAAAATGCATCATTATGTGGTTTTGTTCCAATTATCATTATGTATCGCAGTTCTTGTTGTGGTCAATATGAATTCCGTTTCTCATAACAATTTAGTTTCTTTCAAAGCCACACAAACCACGTGAGTACTAAGAAGGTAAATCTGGTCATATGTAAATCATAGATTTCAATAGCACTGCAAGATGAAGCCTATAATTCTCATCATCATATTGAAAGACAGCGACATTTCTGAGACAATTCTCCAATAAAGGACTGGAATACAACAGCACAATTTTTCTAAGACAAATCTCCCAGAGCTCTCACGAACAACTCCACATCACAAACTAAGGAAGCAAGATAAGATCATAGATAACCCAACAACAAACAAGCAAACAAACTAGAAACTGAAACTAAATAAGGTATACTCCATCCCCTTGGAGTCAAATGCTTCAACTTCCATCATTCAACCTGCAGCGAAAAACAAGAAATCAAAATATTAATCCCCTTACTAATCAATAACTATACAATCAAACACTTAGCTCACCTTAGGTCCACAAGCAGGGCACTTGTGGCTTCTCTCCCGCCATTTATAATAGCAATTCAAATGGAAGCCATGCTTGCATGTCAAGCCCACCTCCTTAATCTCCAGCTTATCTCCACAAAGCCCACAAATCCCCCCTCTAAATTCATCATCATCATCATCATCATCATCATCATCGTCACTCTTTGTTACAAGCTTCGTAACTCTAATGCTAACTCTAATGGCCAGCACAAAATGCTTCAGCAGTACAGTCGTCTGATAAGCATTATCAATCTCTGCACGTATCGCTCTTAAAATAAATGCCCTTGCATTTTGAGAGAGCTGAGTGATGCTTTCAAGATGATTGGAAATACCCTGCCAGGCTCCAGTGGATTCGATATTTTCAAAGGCATGAAGCCTGTCGAACCACTGAAACTCAGAAAACAGAAAGAAATCAACTGAGGCACGCCCAATTCTGAGCTCTTCAGATAAAGAAGTCATTGAGGAATATGAGTTGAAGTCTAGAGTAAGAATTTGATCATCCCACTCAAAGGAGTGAGTTTTGGAGTATTTCCTATAGGGAATAGACATTGTTTAGTTTGGAGTGGAGTAGAGAGTACAGGTGCTGATTGTTGCTATGTAGGAGTAGAGATGGGAATTAACAGGTTTTGTTTGTTGTTATATAGGAATCGAGAGGAGAGTTGACAGGTTGGCGATATGCTTGATGATTCAGGAATTAGCTGGTAATTGTGAGGAAATTTTGACTTCAGTCACTAGTTTACTAATTTGAAATTATCAGGATGAACTTTCCTTTTTTTAGAAATGCATGTTTAAGTTAAGTTTTTACTTCTTTCCATCAATAAAGAAATACTAGGGAAATAGTGTTCATTGGTGAATCGAAGGTATGATTTCCTTTAGAGTTACAAAGATAGAGGTATTTGATGGAAATACTATTTCAAATGAGAAAAGAATGAGTTGATGGATTTATAGAATAGATATTTGCTAACCCACCATAGCTGATTTGGACGGTTACGATGTTCAAATATGACTTCCACAACCTTGGGTTTGATTCCGAACTGGGTCATCAAAAAATAAATAAATAAGTAAATATTTAAATAAATAAACTAGATATTTGCCATGGTCGTTTAGTTCAACGTGAAGATCAATGAATGTGAGAGTTTAAGAACTTTTCACAGTGCATATAATTATTTTTTAACTTATTGAGAGTGTTTATAGAAACCGTTATAACTGTACTTGGTATCTAAAAGGCGGAGATGAATTGCTTTATATTTTCTTGATTTTTAGCAATATTAACTATACTTATTTATTTCATTCTATTTTCGGTATTTATTTTACATCCGATTATCAGATATAGACAATAAACATCGACATTGTTCAAGGAAGAGCTTACAGAAGCAATTGTCGATGATTGTTACATTTTTTACTTGATAGCTTCATCACTAGTCCCATGTGGAAATTGAGGAAACAACTATTTTTTTTCTTTCCTTATCATTTTTCATGTATTTCAAATAGTTTGCTTTAAGTTATATCAGGTGCATTCTTTCTGCATTGTGTTCAAGAAGACATCCTTCTGCATTGTGTTCAAGAAACAAAGCTGCTTATAACTGCAATACTCATGGAGTGAAAATTGAAACAAATAATGAAAAGGAAAAGACATAAATATTCACTAGAGGGTAAGCTCGAGCAAATATATGCATCAACAAGATAATAACTTATCAATTTAATATAAACAATATGTGACATGGTCCAGAAAACTGCACAACTCTGACACATTCACACTGATGAATACACAACCATGATATGCACATACTCGCAAATATGTGTAATCTCTTCTACCAGAGAAGAATTTTCTCTATACATTATCAGCAGTGTTATATACAATTCAACATGCCGTGCAAGTCATAATATCTGAAAGGCACAGAAATTTCTCAAGCATGCTGGTACTATGATAGATTTGCATCATAAATTAATCAAGCTCTCCGTAACTTCGGAGGAAGTTGAAATGTTACAGGAGTATGATCATGTATCGAGCAATCTCATTTCTCAGGATGTTGTAAGCCAGAGGATGACTTCCATTCTTGTATAGCTGATAGCAAAGAGTAGTTTGGGATTATGCAGGTATGTGAAAGCCTGAGCTTCGTAACGGGAGATATCTTGTGTTTTCCAAGCCATGCTTTAATTGCTCTATACTCGTAAGTATATCCATCAGCAGCAATATGGGGATTTTCCATAATTTCCTGCAAAGTATCACCATGATCAGAATTGAATTATTAAGGAAGGTACCGTTTGGCAAAGGGTTAAGTGAAGGGTTAAGGAGACTTAACCCCTTCTTAACCTGCCAAACACAACAAATCTATATAAGGGTTAAAGTGAGTTAATCTTCCATAATTTGCCAAACATAAAAAATATAAAAGGGTTAAGTTAACCCCTCTAGAGGGGTTAAAATGAGTTAACCCCTCAAAATGAGGGGTTTACTAATACTCCTATTTAGATGGAATAAGAGTTAACCCTTCTAATTATAAAGAAAATAGTCAAAATCATTATTATTCCCAAACACTAAAACTGATCATAAGGGCTAAAATAAAACTTATTTAACGGGTTAATAATTTAGTCCTTCGGATTATCAAATGGGCTAAGTATATTAATCCTTTTTTTTAACCCCTCTTCATTAACCCTTTGCCAAACGGGGCCGAAAGGCTTATTTTCACTTTGGTACCCCAGCGTTTACCCCTTTTTTTAACTATGATAGTTTTCTTTTAACATTTTGATAGGCCAAACTTTCAGTCCCATTTCATTTTGATACCTTGCAAGTATTGTTCTATCTGTAGAATACTGACCTCGACGGGCTCGTCGACGGAGATCGTCGGAGGCTGAGACAACGGACGGCGACGGCATCGAGGGTTCGCCAGAACGTGGAGGCGAGGAAGCTCAGGCGAGTTTGAAGGCGTCGGAGCTCGCCTGTGGAGGTCACTTGCGGACGTGTCAGGCGAGGGCCTGAAGGCGAGGTTGAAATCGCCTGATGGGGTGTCGCCTGCGAGCTTTGGAGAGGCAATGAAGCTCGCCTGCAGTCGAGGGAACTCGCCTGTAAGAGCTGATCTCGCCTGTTGAGTGAAAGGCGAGGTGGAGTGCTCGCTTGCGGGGCTTGAGCGGAGTGCTCGCCTGCGGGCTTAAGTGTGGAGCTTGCCTTCGTGGGTGGAGGCCAGCTGTATCGCACCCATGCCCTAGGGTTTCCCTATAAAAGGGAAACCATGTTCTCAAGTTTGAGCTGAGCCCTTCCTCAGCGATTTCAACAGAGAGAAAATTCTCTCTGTGGCGGCGGCTTTAAACTCCAGCGGAAATCCCCAGATTAATTTGAGAATCAAATTTTTCGGTCAAGAAAAATTTGCTTTATTAGTGTAGCATTTACTACAGTGAAAGTAGTTGGTGTTGTGAGAGCTCTAGTTTGAGATTCTCACTTTTATAAGCTTTGTAATTTCTTGTGGTTAAATAAGAAATTATTTGTGTGGCTCCCGTGGACATAGGCAAGTTTGCCGAACCACGTATATCTGTTGTCCCGCCTCATTTACTTACTGTTTATCTGTGTAGTCGTTCATTGCTTGTGTTGCTTAGTTTGAGTTTGGCATAAACTTAAAAACTATGATTGTTTTCTCTTGGGATTAATTAGCTTCCGCGGCGGTACGATCGCCTTGCGCTCCCAACAATTGGTATCAGAGCCCTTGTTCAGATTGGAGATGGTAAAATTTCTGATTTGAGGTGGTGCTCAATTATTGTTGAAATTACTAAGAGAATTGATTTTACTAAACAAGCGGAGAATGTCATCTACAAGTAAAACAGTTAAAGTGAGAAAGTATGAGATCGAGAAATTCAATGGGAAGAATGATTTTTCCTATTGAAGGATGCAGATGAAAAATTCGCTGATTTCGTAAAAATTACACAAGGCCTTGGCGGGAAAAGAAAAGAAGCACAAGGATATGTCTGATGAGGATTGGGAGGAGCTGGATCTGGAAGCACGAGCGTCGATTATCCTTTGCCTTGAAAGGGATGTTGCTTTCTTGGTGGACGGGGAGGAAACGGCTGCGGGCGTGTGGTTAAAATTAGAGAGCACCTTCATGACGAAGAGTCTAACAAACCGGATCTATTTGAAATCCAAATTGCACACTTACAAGATGGAGGAAGGCTCGTCAATCCGAGAGTACAACAACAAGTTCGATAGGATCTCATCGGATTTGAAAGACATTGAGGTGACAGTGGAAGATGAGGATCAGGCTCTTCTACTACTTCTATCTCTGCCAAAATCTTATGAGAATCTGGTTCAAACACTGATGTTTGCGGGTGATAGTTTGTCTATAGATGAGACTAGAACGGCGCTTCTAGCGGATGATCTTCGAAAAATTACAACTAGTGATATGGTCACTAGTGGTAACAAAGAACAAGCGCAGGGGTTCTTTGCCAGAGGAAGAGGCAATGAGCGAGAAAAAAGCAATAGAGGTAAGTCTAGATCAAAATCAAAACCTCTTGCGGAAAGACCGTGTTTCAAATGCGGTGAGCTAGGGCATTTCAAAGTCAATTGTCCTAACAAGAGAATAGGTGGGAAAAAGAATAACAACAAGACTGAAAAACGAGAATGCAAGGAAGAGGCAAGCTACGCTTCAGAGGATGGAAGCGATAAGGAATGTTATGTCGTCACAGGTGACGAGGATACCTCCGGGGAGTGGATTCTTAATTATGGTTGCTCTTACCACATGTGTCCAAACAGGAAGTGGTTTACTACCTACAGGAGCATTGATGGTGAAACTGGTTGCTCTTACCACATGTGTCCAAACAGGAAGTGGTTTACTACCTACAGGAGCATTGATGGTGAAACCGTATTGATGGGGAACAACCATGCTTGTAAAACGGTAGGGTTAGGCGATATCAAGATCAAGATGCATGATGGAGTGGTTTGAACCTTGACAGATGTAAGGCACGTTCCCGACTTGCGAAAGAATCTCATTTCAGTTGGTACTTTGGACTCCGGGGGTTGCAAGATTGTAACAGAGAATGGAGTGAAGATGGTTGTTCAAGGTTCCCTAACAGTGATAAAGGGTGTTCGTCACGGTAATCTATATACTCTTTCGGGTACGACGATGACGGGAGATGCAGCGGTTGGAACTGATGAAAGTGGTGGAGACCCATGTGAGCACACACGGTTATGGCATAGGCAGCTTGGGCACATGTCAAAGAAGGGTCTGGATCTGCTTGGTAAAGAGGGTTTGCTAAAGAATCTGAAGAAGCATTGCATAGATTTTTGCGAGAACTGTGTGTATGGAAAGGCGCACAGGGTTTAATTTCTGAGAAGCAATCACAAGAGCAGAGGAATACTAGATTATGTGCACACGGATGTTTGGGGTCCGGTTTTGACAACTTCCAAGGGCGGTTCCAGGTATTTTGTCTCATTCATAGATCATCATTCAAGGTATGCTTGGATTTATTTTCTGAAGCATAAGAATGAGATATTTGAGACATTCAAGAAGTGAAAGGCGATGGTTGAGAACATGACAGGCAAGAAATTAAAGACACTGAGGTCTGATAACGATACAGAGTATACAGACGGTGCTTTTAAAAAGTTCTGTGATCAGGAGGGGATTGCCAGACACTGGACAGTCAGGTCTACACCACAGCAAAATGGGGTCGCGGAGAGGCTGAACCGAACACTGCGGGAGAAAGCAGTGAGTATGCGATCTTATGCTGGTTTGGGCAAAAAATGGTGGGCAGAGTCGATTGCTACAGCTTGCTATATAGTGAATCGATCTCCACATTCGACATTGGATAGTGATATACACTATCGGGTGTGGTCAGGGGAGCATGCAGATTATGAGAGGCTCCGAATCTTCGGGTATACTGCCTACTATCACGTCAACAAGGAAAAACTTGACGCGAGGGCCAAGAAGGTAATTTTCTTGGGGTATGCAAAGGATGTAAAAGGCTATCGCCTTTGGTGTACAGAAAACTCGAAGTTCGTGATCAGCAAGGACGTTACCTTTTATGAGAAGTCCATGATTACTAGGGTGCCTAAGGATGATGGTGTTGAGACTGTTGGGAATTCTAAGTCCCAGGTTATTGACTTAGAACCTAAAGACCAACCAGGTTCTAGTCATGTTCAAGTGGGAAATCAGGTAGATGATGAGCTTGAGCAGGAGGGAATACACATGCACTACAATAACAGCAGCTCGAGGATAGCTTGGCTTCCACTAGGCCAAGGCGAGCATACAAGCAGGTACAGAAGCTGAGGATTGATCAACCCCTGAAGCACTATAGGCATGTTAATTTGGTTGAGTACGCACTCTCGGTATAGGAAGATGAGCCGATCTCCTTCAAGGAAGCTATTCGGGATAAAGATAGCGAGAATTGGTTGGCTGCGATGGAGGAGGAGATGGAATCTCTCCGGAAGAACCAAACATGGGAGGTGGTCCCATTGCCCGTAGGAAAGAAAGCTATAGGTTGTAAGTGACTGTATAAAAAAAAGGAAGATCCTTCAGAGCTCGGTGGTACGAGATACAAGGCGAGGCTAGTGGCTAAGGGGTTTGCACAAAGAGAGTGTGGATTACAATGAGATATTTTCTCCAGTGGTAAAATATACTTCTATTCGGGTGCTATTGAGTATTACTGCGCATGGTGATCTTGAGCTGGAACAACTCGATGTCAAAACGGCCTTCTTGCACGGAGACTTGGAGGAGAAAATCTATATGCATCAACCTGAGGGCTATAAGATTGAGGATAAGGAGAATCATGTGTGTCGCTTGAGGAAGTCACTGTATGGATTGAAGCAATCTCCTCGACAGTGGTACAAGCGATTTTACTCCTTCATGCTGAAGCATGGGTTTTCCCGAAGCGACTATGATTGTTGTGTTTACATTTGGAACCTTCGTGGAGGTGATTATATCTATCTCTTGTTGTATGTAGATGACATGCTTATTCCATCGAAGAACAAGGTAGAGATAGATAAGCTGAAATCTCAACTTAGCAATGAGTTCGAGATGAAGGACATGGGCGCTGCTAAAAAAATTCTGGGTATGGAGATTAGAAGAGAACGTGCAAATCAGTGATTGTTCTTGAGTCAGAAGGGATACATAGAGCGGGTGATCGTGAGGTTCGGAATGCAAAGTGCTAAGTCAGTGGTGACTCCATTGGCTCCACACTTCAGGCTCTCAGGTAAACAATCTCCCACTACAACGGAAGATAAGGCACACATGGAGCGTATTCCTTATGCTAGTGCAGTTGGCAGTTTGATGTACGTCATGGTGTGTACACGCCCAGATATTTCACAAGCGGTTAGTGTGATCAGCAGATTCATGACGAATCCGGGAAAGACGCATTGGGAAGCTGTGAAGTGGGTCCTGAGGTACTTGAAGGGTACCGCGGATACGGGTCTGTGTTTTGGTGGAAAGACATGTCAGATTGATGGGTTTGTGGACTCAGATTATGCGGGCGATCTAGACAGACGGCGATCTACTACTGGTTATGTATTCAGTATACATGATGCTCCAGTTAGTTAGCGATCGATGTTACAGGCTACAGTGGCACTTTTTACTACAGAGGCTGAGTACATGGCCATGACATAGGGAGTGAAGGAAGCATTATGGTTGTGGGGTCTGTTAGACAATTTAGGGATTGAGCAGGATAGTGTGAACTTATGGTGCGATAGTCAGAGTGCAATTCATTTGGCTAAGAATCAAGTTCATCATGCTCGTACCAAGCATATCGACGTCTGGTATCATTTTGTGCGGGATGTCATAGAGAAAGGTGATATTTCTCTCATGAAGGTGCACACGAATGAGAATCCAGCAGACATGTTAACCAAGGTGGTGACAAGTAGCAAGTTTCAGCATTGCTTGAACTTGCTTCATATCAGCCCGTGTTGAACTGCCCAAGAGGGCAATTGCAGAACTACGATTAGCTTGATCCCTGTGAAGGGTACGTAGGCAACCACGGTATAGTGGCGTAGCTGGTTTGGCCGAGTTTGGTCATGTTTGGTGTTCGCGGTGTTCTTCTGGAGTTCGTTCAAGATTTGAGGTTTATCAAATGATGGACGAGGTGAAGAATTGTAGAATACTGACCTTGACGGGCTCGTCGACGGCGATCGTCGGAGGTGGAGGCAGCGAACGGCGACGGCATCGAGGGTTCGCCAAAACGTGGAGGCGAGGAAGCTCAGGCGAGGGTTTGAAGGCGTCGGAGCTCGCTTGTGGAGGTCGCCTGCGGGCGTGTGTCGCCTGCGGACGTGTCAGGCGAGGGCCTGAAGGCGAGGTTGAAATCGCCTGATGGGGTGTCGCCTGCGAGCTTTGGAGAGGCAATGAAGCTCGCCTGCAGTCGAGGGAACTCGCCTGTAAGAGCTGATCTCGCCTGTTGAGTGAAAGGCGAAGTGGAGTGCTCGCCTACGGGGCTTGAGCGGAGTGCTCGCCTGCGGGCTTAAGTGTGGAGCTTGCCTTCGTGGGTGGAGGCCAGCTATATCGCACCCATGCCCTAGGGTTTCCCTATAAAAGGGAAACCATGTTCTCAAGTTTGAGCTGAGCCCTTCCTCAGCGATTTCAACAGAGAGAAAATTCTCTCTGTGGCGGCGGCTTTAAACTCCAGCGGAAATCCCCAGATTAATTTGAGAATCAAATTTTTCGGTCAAGAAAAATTTGCTTTATTAGTGTAGCATTTACTACAGTGAAAGTAGTTGGTGTTGTGAGAGCTCTAGTTTGAGATTCTCACTTTTATAAGCTTTGTAATTTCTTGTGGTTAAATAAGAAATTATTTGTGTGGCTCTCGTGGACATAGGCAAGTTTGCCGAACCACGTATATCTGTTGTCCCGCCTAATTTACTTACTGTTTATCTGTGTAGTCGTTCATTGCTTGTGTTGCTTAGTTTGAGTTTGGCATAAACTTAAACTAGGATTGTTTTCTCTTGGGATTAATTAGCTTCCGCGGCGGTACGAGCGCCTCGCGCTCCCAACACTATCTTTCGGTTAAAACCATATCAAATGCTTAACATGTAATACATTAAGGTCGATTTATACCCCTCTCATGAAAAGTAATTGCCCGTAAATATTTATGGGTATTTTTTAGATGATGAGCCCTTGGCCTGGTTATACTTTGTGCAATTCTAGGAATGGGGTAGGGGAAATAATTTTTCACCAGAAGTGTATAGTTGACCTAACTGTATCATGTGCTAAAGATTTGATACATTTTAACAGAAATATAATGAAATTTGGACGAGTATGTGAAAGTGGCATGAGATTGAAACTTTGGGATTTCAAAGTTTAAAAAAATTGGTAAAGTTTAGGGTACCAAAGATAAAAATAAGCCTTAAGAAAAAGATGAACGAGAAATCATTAAGATGCTACTTTAGAAAACCTTTCACCTGCAATATTGGGCATAGATAATGGCTCGGTGCATAAACATTGCATTGTCTCAACTTGAAACAAACATTAGCCACTTTGCAAAGCTCCTCCAGTTCAGGGAGTACTTCTGAGTCCAAATCTGGCCTGTCTCTGCATCTTAGCCTGCAGCATTTTACAGCAAGCTTCGCTAACTTCTCTGCCTCTAGAAGCGGCCAGTCTGATATTGATTTGTCAAGTAAATCAGCAAATGAACCACTTTCTATTGCATTTTCCACATTCATCAGCAACCCTCTTGGGTGCCTAGCTGCCAATAATTGTAGTGTAATAATTCCTAAGGCATATAAGTCTGATTTGGGTCTAATTGTACCTGTTCTCTGATACTCTGGATCCATGTAAAAGAGAGTACCGGCAAGAACAGTTTCTCTGTATTCAGTGAATCCATCAGGAACTACATCTGATATTAATTTGGCCAATCCAACATCTCCTATCTTGCTAACATAGTTTCTATCTAACAATATGTTTCCTGGTTTGAGATCACGATGAACTATAGGCTCAGGTTTTGTTCCATGTAAGAAAGCAAGTCCGCAGGCCACTTCAAAGATAATCCTGAACCTAACGAACCAGGGAAGAGGATTTGATCCATCCTTGCAAAATAGTTTATCTTCCAAGCTTCCATTCTCCATGTATTCATATACAAGGCACCCATTTTCAGGACAGCCCCCAAGCAGTAAGACCATGTGTGGATGATGTAATTGGCTAAGAACTTCAACCTGTAATATTTCATTATGCTGCGTGTTATTGAATGTACATACGAAAGTATAAAGAAATCTTAAAATAAATGTAAACTTTCAAATTTTGTTTTAGCAAAGTCAAGTTATTATGACTACAGGGCTACTAATGAATGGTGAAGGACATAATGGACGAAGAAGAAGCAGTAAAGACAATTTTAAGGTACTGCTGGTTGTTTCTGGGCAAATTTCATCGTTTGTTTCCATGATTTTCTGCAATGAGGGGATTTTCTTGCCTGCAAAATTGGTGTTCTTCCCAGAGAAAATAGGCTAAGCTTCCATTTTTGTTAGTCCTGAAATATGTTTACTTGTTTAGTTTCATGACATCATTAGGCTGCCCATCTCCTTACTAAATGAAATAGTATGGAGAAATTTTCTCCAAAGATTGAAAACTCTAGTTTGGTTTCTCTTCATCTTTTCCATTCTTTCTCCTCTTTTTCTTTCATGAGAGTTCTTGCTCCTGATTACTTTGTGGGACTTTTTTCGTGTTCAGGGTTGGTGCTTCTTTAAAATTAACAAAGTACCGGTCCTAGATTAGGATCTTTTGGTTTTTCATCACATTATTTACTCCACTTGCTATTTAAATGAAGTATGAGGTATCTTTTCAAGCCTTTTCTAAAAGAATGAGTTCTAGTTGGGATTTTTTTTTTTTTTTTTTTTGCTCATTTTAATTATCCCATGCAATGATGGATTTTTTGCCTTCAGATTAGGTGTTTCTCCTAATAAAGGAATTGATCTTAACTTTCATTTTATCAGTACCTTTGAAGAATTTTTTGGATTTATTGAATTATTTATACATTTATGGATTTACCTCTTAAATGAATCAGGAAAGGATTTTTCAAGCCCCCTACATAAATGAGAATCCTACTTGATGTTGGCTATAGAGCAGGTATCAAGCTACAAGGAAGTAACGTTGTGATCTAAGCATATAGTCAACAAAACTGAACTAACCAACCTAATACATTTAGATACTTGAGTGCTTTCATGCTTAAGCTCTAACATTATACATTATATAATATTCTGGAAAATATAAATAATAAAAAACATGTGGGGAAAAAAAAAGGTTCAAAGATACCTCTCTTATGAATTCCTCTTTCTTATCATGCGTCTCTTGGCGAAGAACCTTGATAGCAACTGGAGTGTGATCGAGGTTACATTTGTATACTTTTCCGTAACTTCCCTCTCCTATCATTTTTGACTCAGAGAAGTTATCTGTTGCAACCTCAATTTCATTCTTCGAGTAACGTCGACAATTTTTTCCATTTGATAATAGAGAATCAAAGATTTTAAATTTCTCAGAAGACATGTCACAGGCAACCATTTGAGCTTTGTGCCTATCCAATGCCTCTTTAGAGAGTAACTGTTTTGCCTCCTCAACTTCTTTGATGGCTTCTAAATGTTTGGCCTTCTCTTCTTCAGCTATCCTTTTCAACATCTCCTCTCTTTCCAGTGCATCTTTCACCTTTTTAGCATCTTCAGAGTATTCAGTGGATAACAAAGCAACCTGCAAGAAACTGCTCTCAGTAAAATTGGAAATTAAGGAAAGGGGCACATTAGAAGTGTGGTAATAGCAAGGATATACAACATAGAGGAAATTTACAAAAAATTAGAAAATGGATATGATCAACTTGAATTTAAGATATCCTAGGAATAATAAAGCAACCTTTTCTAGTTAAAATAGAAGTGTGGGAATGAAGTTGAATCAATTAAGCTAATACCATAACAGGTCAAGTATTTCAAATAGAAGTGTGGAAATGAAGTTGAATTAATTAAGCTAATACCATAACAGGTAAACTATTTGCTGCTTATACTGCTAACATCTTAATGTTTCATAATGTCACATTCAATGAAAACTGGTGGTTCCCTGTTTGGATAATGACCTTATTTGGTGCATCAGTAAATACACACGTAAGAAGGTTAATGATGAATATGTTGATGGATGTACAATACACCATGTGCTTGATGTGCATCATTTCATGTGTTAAGCAGGTATACAGCCCTTTAGGCATAAAGATAAATGCAACACTAACCTTTTTCTTAGCATGAACCAGGCCTTCACAAGCTCTTTTGTACATTGCCAGAGTATTTTGCAATTCTTTCCGCAGTCTAACTACTTCCTGTGGAGCTTCAGCCTGCTAATATATGACTAATATATTAATATCCAATTTGACAATTTATAGTGTGGTATGGTGCACTATCTATGACAGATGACACTGAAAAACTTAAAAAAAGACTGAAGGAAAAGTTTTGTTTCCTTACATCTTCTGAGTTCATGATGACATAAGGGACTTCTTTATATGGAGATAAATTATCATATTTTCTTAATGTTTGAAAATCTAGAATCTTTTTGCCCAGGTTGTCTCCATTCTTCTGACAACCTTGAGGTATTATAAGCGCAGTTTCTGAATTCCCACCAGACGTGATAGAAGCACTGCCATCCTGGAAGACTTGAGAATCTGAATCAAGATCTGAAGGTACGGATAAATGCAATATTTCAGGATCGACTGCACTATGAGAAGATATACTTTTATTAAAAATGCAGTTCCATTCCTTCTGGGTAAATGCTTTTAGACTAACTTTTTGTATTTGCATATTTATGCTACTCCCTGCAAGAAAAATAAAGAGAAGAAAATATAATGCATATTAGAACAACAGAAACATGAAAAGCAATAATGTAACAGAGTTTAATGTGAGGGACGAACATTTTCAAACCCACCTATCATTGATTCCGTAGCAACTTTCATTGTAAGCCTATTCCGAGAAACAATAAAGATGTTGCAAGAATCAGGAGCTGATTTTAAGATAGTAGTAGGCACATCTGGACCCTTAAGTATCCTGCAAGTTGAAGTTAAGGAGAAGAGTTACTTGCAGAAGACAAAAGTGGAGGTCAATATAAGAAGCTTATCATGAAGAAGTGGTTTTGATTTACCCCAATTTCATCTAGAATTGAAGACACAAGTAAGAAGTGTTTGGCATGTATTGAACAATTTTGACGCAAGTGGCAATATATTTGGCACAACACAGTTATGACTTGGCAATGGAAGTGTTCATGCAACATAATTGGGAAATAAGGGGAAAGAACTAAGAAGCTTATGTTCAGTGCGAGGGAAGAAATTAGCTGGAAAGAGAATTTATATTTGTGATGTCGTTCGTTTAGGTTTGGTGGGAGGAACTCGAGGGAGTTAGCAATAAGGATTTAATTAGATAAATATAGGGTAAAAAGGATCACAACCTTACTTTATTAGAGTAAGCGGAGTATATTTAAGGAAACTACATGTTCTAGTTAGAGATAACCAGTAATATAACGCAATAGGAAATATGAAGATATAAGAGATTAATCACGAAATATGTCTAATTTAAAGGTCTAATATGTACAACACTATTTTCCCACTGTTTTTTCTCTAAGAAAAGATATGAAATAAATTATCAGTACATCCACTCCCGTATCTCCTTTTATCAACCATACAGACCACTATTTGGAATATCAATCAGTTTCGACTCATCTCACACGTAAATGGTATAAAACCGGAAAGTTACTTCTTATACTGGTTTATTAGAGTTTTTTGCTTCATCATGATCCAAATCTGATAGCACAGCTGATGTGTATCAGTATCGACTGACTTTTCAAACATTGTTGTGAACGATACACTTTGTTTGTCATTATTAAATCCAAGCGTACGAAACTTATTGCTCGACATAAGCCATACTTTGACATTTAATGCAGAGGAGAATAAAGAAAAGTTCAATTCACATTTATCTCAATGCAACAATTGCACGACAACCTTCTCTGGAAGTTAAAGTGTAAGTCTCAGAAGACAACCATGAACTATGGTGGTTTGCATAACTACCATGCCTCGCGACAACTAGACTGAATTATCAAGTGTGAGATATGTTCTGAACAATTTTGCTCTTATTTTATATATTTTCTATTTTTAAGGGCAGTTTAGACCTTTAATCAAGATCGTTAACTTCGTTAGCAACAATTTCTAGTATCTCTCTGCATCTAAAAGTTCGTGGTAACTTATCTAAGAAAAAGTTTATGGTAGTTTTTTGCAAAATCCCCAAAAGTTATGTGCAAAAATGAAATTAAGAATCATATTCAAAATCAACTACAAAAAGATACCCAAAGAAAAACCCAATACCTTCTAAACCAACCCAAAGAAGAAGATCCCAGCACTAAATTCTTCATCCCTGACTCCAATAAAAACCTCAGCAGCGCAGCCGCAGGGCTCTGTCCATTCAACACCAAAGTATCAACCTACATAACACAAAGTCAATCATCAAACAGAACAAACACAACAAAAAAAAAATCTATAAAGAGAAACAAAGGCTCCAATCTTTCACATTTTTACTCGGGCATAGCCTTTTAAATGGATACATCACTTTCTGAGCCTTCAACCTCAAATCCTGAACATACAAATCCACCACCTCCCTCTCCAATTCCCCAGTAGGGATGCGCTTCCCTGCTGCACAATGTAACGAATACAAAAATATTTAGAATATAAATTTATAAAACTCAACCCTCGTAATCACCTCAAAGTTTTTTGTGTAGTGAAAGGGTGCTTTAACATGGTATCAGAGCAACAGGGCTCAATCCCACCAGCCCCGAATTTAAAGCGGATTAAAAAAAATATGGGCATGTAAGTGCAGGTTTCGAACCGAAATGCCGCTCAAACTACTAACATGTTAGATTACAGAATTATAATCCTCAACCCTCACAATATCGGAGTTTGAACACAGTCCAAGCTTCCCTTAACAGAAACCATACATAATCAAAGAAACTACAAATCATAAAAAGTAGGCTGATTTGCACTTTAATGTCCCAAAGTATCACCCTTTCTCAACTATGATTCTCTGAATTTCAAATTTGACAATTTGACAACTCAAAGTTCTCAAATTGATGTTAATTTGGCAACTTGATACTCCTAAAGCCCTAACTTTGTTCCTCACTTTCCTCAAACTCAAATAATAATAATAATAATAATAATAATAATAATAATAATAATAATAATAGTAAATAAAATAAAAATTAAATTAAATTAAATTCCATAAGAAAATTGGTTCCCGTTCACTTTTCTATGTTGATATACTTTGGGGTATCAAATTGTCAAAATCGAAGTTCAGGGTTATTCAAGTGCAACTAATCCTTAAAAAATATGAAATTGATCGCATTTTCACTATTAACAGTAAAGCCTTACTAGGATTTGGGACGGAGGTGACAGAGGGGATGACGTGGACGAGGAGCGCGCGGTGAGCGTGAGGCATGAGATTGATACGTCGTCGGAGATGACCGACATCTGTGGGTGATGGAGCGAGAATGGAGAAGGGAGAGCTAGGGTTTGTTGAGCTTGAGGATTTTTTTTTTTTTCGTGCGTTTAAGATATGCATGAGTCAACGAGAAGAGCGGAGACTTAACTGTGAGGATCAACGGATTCGGCATCTGCTAGCTGAGAATTTGGAGGTTTTCTGGGTTTTTTACTTATATGCCCCAAACATATATCATTTTGCAGATTTATTCTCCATATCTGAATATTGACAAATTACCCCTATATGACTTTGATAGTGAGTTAAAATATCCTCTAATTTTAGACGTTAATGCTCAAATCGAGAAGAGATGTCTCTCTAAAAAAATAAGGATTTTTGTCTGTATAATCCAAATGTGTGATATTTGCGGATACCCAACAAATACGCATATTTGCAAATTTACCCTTGTGAATTTTAACGGTTCTAAATGAATGATGTATAAAATACGACAAGAAAGAATGTAAGGTACAAATTATCAAATATGCATATTTTCGGTGAATATGTAATAAAGTTAAAGTTAAAGTTGGGAGTATATATGCCAAAAAAGAAAGAAAAGAAATTTCTTTCCAATTTTTGGATCTTACACATTTAACTTTTAAAAACATTGAATTTTTCACTTCTTATTATCCTCAAAATTTTGCACACCATTCAGAGAAAATATTAGTTTGTATATACACGCTCATCAAGATCATAATCATCGAAAAAAGTTCACTAGCAAAATATATACTAAAGTAGTAAATTAGACATACTAAATTATTATTTAATTTTCCCAAAAAATTATTAGTTAGTTATTTAAAAATACAACTAACTAGTAAAGTGTACCGTTTGCAATTCTATCGAACATATTTTTTGTTATTCTTAAGATTCACTATTATCATACTTACGTTAAACTTATATAAATTTGCATAAGCATTTATTATTGATCAAAAGTAATCGATGCATAACCCAACCCTTCACTTTCGCTATTCATCAATTATTTCATAAATTGTAACAACTTTCATGTTTAACAAGTTAGGTTAAACTGTAAATAAACAAGGATCTCATATATACATCTACTCCTGTATACAGAGGATCCAAGATTTATTGTTTATGATACAGTAAATAATACATTTAAAGTATTGTAGCATAAATAGTAAATCTTTATATCCTCCTCTAAGTTTAGAGGAGTAAATTTGTTGTTTGTGCTATAGTATTTTACTGTACATGACAGTAAATATTTGGATTGTTCTTTAAATATAGAGCAGTAGATATGATTTTTAATTTTAAACATAAAATAATCAAATCAAATATATTAAACCTTAAAAAGAGACAGGTTCAAAATGCAATGTTTAAAAAAAAACAGATGGTCGTGCTTTGCACGGCGTACACACTAGTATGTATATAAATAAAGGATATGAGTCACCTAATCATTTTATAGAAATGTTAGGGGCACACCCCAAGTCACACCTCTAACCACACCTCCCCCTCTCATTCGCTACAGTACTCCGGGCCCCACATAAGTTTTTAAAATTTAAAAACTCATGTGGGGCCCGTAGTACTGTAACGAATAAGAGGGGAGGTGTGGTTGGAGGTGTGGTTTGGGGTGTGCCCCTAACACCACTCATCATTTTAATAGACTAGTGGCGGATCCACCCTGCCAGCTCATCTAAGCAGATAAATTACTAACATCTTATAGTAGCCCGTTTTATGAGAAGCTCACTACTGCATCAGTAGCTCATGTTGTGTGGTAGCTCATATGCATATACAAATTTCATTTTTTTTTAAATAGGATATATGATACAGGAGATCTACAAGACGAGATGAATGAAAAGCGAGACGAGACGACTAACCAGATGGACGAGACAAGACTCGACTCAAACCAAACGAGACGACAACAAACCAGGCGAGTCGAGATGACGACTCAAGGCGAAGCAACCCAACCGAGACGAACAAACGACCCGAGGCGACAGGACGAGACGACAGGCGACAGGACGAGTCGACTCATACATACCAGTCGACATGAAAGGCGGAACCACTCGACATACTTACTCGACTCATGTCCAGTCGACACGAAAGGCGGTACTACTCGGCACGCCTCGTGCCGACTCGAAAAACAAATTAGGAAAGGAGTTCGTTTTTGGTTATTTCCTTCTAGAGTTAGGATAGATTTATTTGGCTTTATATAATAGCTTCTTTTGTAAATCAAACAATTAACTTTCAATTATTCAATCAAGAGAATTTTTCTCCTTGTTTTCGTTCTCAAATTTGATAAACTTAGAGCTTATGGATTCAAACTCGTGAATTACCTGCTATTGTCAGGGCTCGTCGGCATCGGAACGATATCCGATCGGCCTCCCCGTTTCTACGTCTGCGTCAATATATATGTGTATCTTAATTAAAGTTTATTTAGAACATAAACTTGTAAGGTTAAAATGATTAAATAAGACAATAACTCAGTACTACAAAATATATATGTTCGAGTATTAATATGAATCAATACAATATAATAACACCATAATTCATAAGAAAGTGAATAGCTTACTAATATGCATCGACTATTCAAATGAAGGTCTCAATGAATTATTTCCATACTATATTTTTAGCTTCTTAATTACAAATATAATTTTTATGTGTCTTAGATGTAACTAATATATATATACTTTTTTTTTTTTTGGAATAAGAATTTGGGTATTCAAAGCCCACGTTTATCAACCTCTCACCTATCTTTAACAAGCAATGTGGCGTAGATATCCTTGCAGTGACTCCACATAGGCTTCATTTTCAGCCATTGGCCTGTTTGAACCGGTCTTCGGCTTTCCACCAATTGAGCTGACACCGACACGTGGCGGTACGTCAACCCCAAATAAAATAAGCACTTCGAGGTGCGCATCAGTCAATGCGGGAAAAAAGACAAAATTCTGGCACCTGACCTTTAGAATAATCTCCAGCTTCGTCTTTTTGCATAACTTGCACAACCTCCTCCCAGAGCAAAGGAAGAGAGAAAAGAAAAGAAAAGAGAAGCCAAAAAAGAAGAGGAGGAGGAGGAGGAGGAGGAGGAGGAGATTAATCTTCTCTCTCCATCTCCACTCCATTAATTGTTCCTCTTCTCTCTCATTTTTGCTCTTTTTTCCCCCGCATTAATTTACTGACTCGTGGAAATGCAATCCCACGCATTTACTTCTCCGTCGCAATTGGAGGAGTATTCTGCCGTCCCGTCGACGGCGGTGGCCATAGACAGGGACAAACTGAGTCAACAGGCGGTAAAATGGACGGTAGATAATCTCGCCAACTTCAGCAAAAAGATCACACTCATTCATGTGCGGACCAGGAGTAAGTATACCTTTTTCTTTTCCTCATGAAGGACAAAGTGTTAGGAAAATTCATTAATCTCCCCCCACCCACCCCAAAAAAAAAAAAAAAAAAAAACTTTTGATGCATTCATAAAAACCACATAAGTTTGAAGAGCTTTGCTACATGACCCAAAATATGGGACCAATAGAGGAGACAAATGAGGTGTCCCTCGCCTATTGGATGAGTTGATCATCATTAATGATGGCCAACTCATTATCCAATAGGAGAGGGACACCTCACTTGTCCTCCCTATTGGTCCCATGTTTTGGGTCCATGGAAAATTTTTCAAGTTTGAATTCTTTTCAACATACCCCCAAGAGTGCGCAACTCCCAAAGGGTAAATTTTGATCAACCCCAAACGAAAGAGTGGGGGTCTATATATGTTGTTTGGGAGGATGCTGAAAAGAGTTCAAAGCTTACGGGTGTTCTGCGAGCACCCAAAAGTAAGGGTTAAGCTCAAAGTGGGCCAAAAGTTGGGCAGTCTTGTGAAATTTAACCAAGAAATAACGCAGACCAAATTGACTAAACAGCTTTCCTTCATTAGATAGTATATATGCATGTCAAAATACAATTTGTTCACAAAAGTATCATGTTTTTTTAAATTTTATTTTTCGTTTCTCTTTTCTTGTTGTTTGCTGCAGATGGTCTCCCATCTGGATTTTCAATGGTTGAACAAAGCCCAGAAGCTGCAAGGGCTCAAATTGATCAAGAGATGCAACAATTATTTCTCCCGTACAAGGGTTTTTGTGCTCGCAAAGGAGTATATATATCACTCATTACTTATAAATCCGGGTTAATTACAGATGTAGTATCGCACTTTGGAAGTCATCAGCCGTGTTAGTTTGATTTGGCAGATAGACCCTCCCAGAGAATTTTTTTTTTTACTCTTTCGCCCTCAGAGAAAAAGAAAATTTGCCTTTGGCAAACAGGCCCCGCGAGGGTAAAACGGTCAAGAATACACTGGAGGAATATATCTGCCACAATCAAACTACGGCGGTAACAAGCTCCAAAACGCAACACTACAAAGGATCTGTGCGCATTTAACCCTGTACATTTTTGTTCGAACAAGCAGCAGTTTAGCATGCACAGTTCAAAAATTCCTTAATTACACCAAGTGGCTAACAATATTCTTTACCTGGGTTTTCTCTTGAAACCTTCAGATGAAAATCAATGAGGTCGTCCTCGAAGATTCTGATGTTAGCAAGGCCATAGTGGACTACATTTCTGCTAACCATATCCAAAACATAGTCGTCGGCAACTCAAACAGGAATGCAATAACGAGGTCTTGATAACTCTTGTCCCCTCTAATACGACGCTTCAAAAACCTAGTCGACGACGTTCTCAAATCTTCATAGTCAGAATCAAGTGTTTTATTTTTTATTTTTTTTAACGTTGCAGGAAATTTAAGAACCCTGATGTTCCTTCAACCTTGACTAAAACCGCACCAGACTTCTGCGCAGTGTATGTTATATACAAGGGGAAGCCAATAACAGTTCGATCAGCAAAGTCTGTCGCACCCAATACCGCTATGCCTCCACGACAAGTGGTGCAGGAGATTCCCCGACAACTTCTTGATCAAGAAGAGCGTGATAGGTACGTAGTTTCCTGCGTTTGTCATAATAAAATTATCACAAGGGTTAATTGAAACACAGACCCCCTCCCTAGTAGTAATTGCTTTTTTGAATCAATTACCCCTGTAAGTTTCATTTGGCAGATAGGCCGCTCGGCTGAATTTTTTCTTTTTTTTTTTCTTTTTAAATCCTAACCCTTAGGTGAACTCACTAAGTCCACTTTAGAATTAAAGAGTAAAAAGAATATAACCCAGGGGTCCATCTGCAAAAATGAAAGTGCATGTGTGGTAAGTTCAAACAGCGATAGTACAGAAGGTCTACGTTCAAAATTAGCCCCTCGGCATAAAGTATAGTATGAAAATTAAAGAGTGATACTCTTCTAAACATCTATTCGAGTTTTAGACAAACTTGCGTCGACTTGAATACAAGAGAGAGGAGAAGCTTTTACATAGCATGCAGAACAATTTTGTGGCTCTTTTTATCCCATGGTATCAGTATGCTCTTAAGAAGAGGAGAGTTAAGAAAACCTCAACAGAATAACTCAAGGAAAGTATTTCAGGGGTAAATTTTAGGTAAATTTTACATAAGCCCCCAAAATTTGTCCCATTCGGAGATACCACAAACCCCGATACCCCCTGTCTGCGTAACCCCCAATCTTTTTCAACATACCTGATAACTTTCAGCATTGTTTTCAAAAAACCCCTCAAACTTTTAATATTATTTCAAAAATCAAAACCATCAACGTTATATTCAGAACCACCCCCTGAACTTCTTATAAACTTTCAGGAAACTGTTAGGATTTTATCTATAATCCCTGATGCGATTTGAAAATAGAGATTAGAGAGAAGAGAGGAAAAGCAATCACACAAAGCACACAAGATTTATGTGGTTCATTTCTCGATATGAGAAGCTACGTCAACGGCTGCCATAGGGGAAAATTTTACTATTTTCGTCAATCTTACAAATTTCCCTAATCTCCCATTTAATAACATAAGGGTTAATACAAACAGGATTCTGAAAACAATTCAGAAAAATAGCTCAGGCCCAAAACCCGACTCGTGGTCGACCGCAGAGCAAGGAAAGTCGCGGTCGACCGTAAAAAATCTAGAGATCAAATCCTGATTACAGGGCTTGGCGCGGTCGACCGCACATGCTGTCGCGGTTGACCGCCAAAAGTCCAGAGACTTTTCGTGGTCTTGTGCACGTTCGCGGTCGACCGTCACGCCACTCGCGATCGACCGTGAAGCTCCCAAACTGTTTCCTTTGTTGTTTTGCATGAACTTCAACGCCATCGTTCCTGTTTCTTCAATTCTTCTTGTTTCCTCTTCAAAATAGAAGTATAGGGCAAGTCTGACAGTTAGGCTCTACATAACCTAACAATCTTCCACTTGGAGACTAACTTTCAATCTCATCACCTCTTCCTGCGGCGACAACCTCCCATATCATCAAGTAATGAGGCCAACTGAAGTTAAACACAACTTCAGTTTCTCCGTAGTGACAATCTTCGTAAGCATATCAGTCGGGTTCTTGCTTCCTTGAATTTTTGGCTCTCGGACATCCTCAAATTAAACAGCTTCTTTATGAGATGTACCTTATTCGCCGCAAATGGTTGTTCGTACATACTAGATAGCACAGCCATGAGATCCGCCGTCGAATTCTGATTCTTGATGTTGAAAGATACAGATTTAGACAGGGTCAACCTGATTGCTTCAAGGGCCTTCCGATCTAATAGCTTCCACTCTGCATCCTTCATATCCGCCAGCTTCTCTCCCAATGGCAAATATAGATCCTTCTGATAGAAGTAGTCTTCTATATGCATCTTCCAGAACCCGAAGTTTGTCCCATCAAACTTCTTGATCTTGGACGTCTCCTTCTCAGATCCCATGTCTCTGACCTCAAATCGTCTGCGTCGAACCTGGCTGCTCTGATACCACTTGTTAGGGTTTTATCTATTTTCAAATCGCATCAGGTGTTATAGATAAAACCCTAATAGTTAGGTGATATTTACAAAATTTACAGGGTTATCTCAAATTGTCCCAAACTTTAGTGGAGTTGTGTGAAATTTATCCAAATTTCAGCCAGGAAAACTAAGAAGATGGAGATGAGCTATAGATAAAACAAAGTTTATGTTCATGTAACATATCATATCCCCGCCAAAAATATATGTGTACATGTATACATACATGCATGTGGGTATCTATGTCAGCTTACTTATTTTGGGGTTAATTGGATCACTGTTCTCTGTATTTACATCATAATTGGATGTTCATACCTATGTTTTAATTGCTTGGATGGCTGCTCATGTAATTAAATACTAATCAAAATCATTGATCATTTCTAATGTTTTCTGCCAATTGACATAAGAGATTTTCGTTGCCGTGACATAAAAGAGTCTTGCTCATTTGACATAACCGATTTACTCCTATGTCCAATATCTTGAACACTTATGGAAATGAAATTTGTGATAATATCGGTCCATTTGTATTGGGTAATTATATTGCATTTGCATTTTTTTATTTGAAAATATTAACTTCTGATAAACTATATTGTTTAAAAATATATGAGAACATAAAACTTAAATTGCCGGAAAGCGCTAGAATTGACTGACGATTCAACTAGTATTTAATTACTTGACCGGTCATCCAAGCAATCAAACATAGGTACGTAAACACCCAGTTATGAGATGAATATCGCGACCAGCGATCCAGCTATCCCCTTATTTTGATATGCAAAAAAACCAAATCCATGACTTACCTATTTGGCTATATCTGTTTAAAAAGTATAGGTCAGCAAGAATCACGAACTGGAGAGGCCAATATGCTCCATCTCCTCAACCAGAGAGAAGGTCCTTCGAAAGATATTCTGATGCTCCCAGATCTTCTGATGCTAGCAAGAGAGATAGGCCAGGAGCTCGGTCATCACCCAACAATTACTTTCTTGACAACCTCGATTCTGGTCATTACTCGAGTTTCTCCGATTTTAACGACTCTTTTGAAGACACTTCCAGCATGGGTCGCCGATCAATGGACTTCCCTGAATTGCTTGAGTTCTCATCAAGCCCTATTCCTGGGGGTGCCTCTCCTCCTTCCGGTGTAAGTACCTTGAAGAATGATTAATTGCACATAGACCCCTGTAAACCTGTTTTGAACTTACTAGTACTCCATGTACGTAGTTTGGTTTTAGTAGGCAGACCCCCTGAGTTAATTTTTTTTTGACTCTTTTGTGTGTTTTTACCTGCCAAAATGAAACTACAGAGATAGTAATTTCAAAGCAGTAATACCGCAGGTGGGGGCTATGTGCAATTAACCTTTTGAAGAAAATACCATTAAATTCACTTATAAAACTAAATGTGGATAAAGTTTGTTTCTCTTCATATTGTTTTAGGCTAATCGAGATGTTGAGGCTGAAATGAAAAGGCTGAGGCTTGAGTTAAAGCAGACTATGGACATGTACAGCACCGCATGCAAAGAAGCAATCACTGCAAAACAGAAGGTGAGATTCATTTCAGTATGGCATATATAAAAGCAAGCTTGAAGAAAATAGATTCATTGCCGCAGAAGAAATAATTATTGGAGGAGTATTGAACTACAACATTGATTTCTTTCCTTCCCCGTTGTAACTTTTATAGACTTGCGCATGTGAGCATGCAGCCATATACATTACTTTTTATACAACAATCATTCATAAACAAAAACCTGAAGAAAGATGGAAATGCATTTCTACAGATGAAAAGTTAATGCAAAAAAAAAAAATTTAATACACAAAATTTTACAACTTTTACTTGATCCTACTTATTAGGGTTCATTGCGGATAGACCTCGTGTACCTTCACCCGATTGCTGGTAGACCTCCTTAACTCTATTGTTGCAGACCTGAGTGAATTTTTTTGACTGTTTTAGCCCCAGAAAGAGAAATTCGTTTTTGACAAATAGACCTATCAAGGGTAAAAGAGTAAAAAAATCACTCAGTGAGCCTATCCACAATTGGGCAATAGTATAGGGCATCTGTCCTCAACTGGGCAATAGTACAGGGTCTATTCGCAATTGGGCAACGGTACAGGGACCCTATCTGTAACTGCCTTTGATAAATAAACCTGTATTTTGTGCTCTTCATGCTTTGTTCTAAGTTGGCTCGTAATATATAATTTCTATATTTAATATTTGAACTTTCAGATATATATGTGAATCCTCTTCTGAGCATTAGAAATGTCTTGTCATGATATCTAATTGAATGTACATGCATGGGAGTGCAGGCTAATGAGCTCCACCAGTGGAAAATGGAGGAAGCCAGAAAGTTTGAGGAACTGAGAAGCGCCGAAGAGGCAGCCCTCGCAATCGCCAAGATGGAAAAAGCAAAATGCAAAGCTGCCCTTGAAGCAGCTGAGGCAGCACAAAGAATTGCAGAGCTTGAGGCACGGAAGAGAGTGACCGCTGAAAGGAGAGCAAAAAGTGAGGCAGAAGAGAGGAAGACAGCACTTCAAACCCTTGGTGGCAATGATGTTCGGTATAGAAAGTATAGTATCGAGGAGATCAAAGTGGCTACTGATGAATTCAAAGAGTCTTTGAAGATTGGTGAAGGTGGATATGGGCCTGTGTTCCAAGCTCGTTTGGATCATACTCCGGTTGCCATTAAAGTTTTAAGGCCAGATGCAGCACAAGGCAAACAACAATTCAACCAAGAGGTATAAGATCGCTTTATAACTTGTCCAATTCCTTACTAACAGTTTCTAGTCAGGTATTGGCTGCATAGTTTAGGGGTGCAGAGGTATCGGATATGGGATTCACGATATTTGGATACCGATACAGATAAAAATATAGTTCAGTAAAGAAAATTTATATCATGTATGCGTGTGTGTGTATGTATATAGGGAATGCGTGCGCGTGTGTCTTTATCAAAAATTGGATATGAAAAACGGATTAAATGGGAATAAAACAGATATTAATAGATATTACACATGGGAAAAATAGATAAAGCTTAAACTATTTAGGTCATATAATCCAAGAACTATTAAGTAAACAGAAATTTTTAAATCAGAACCCACCAATGTGTGCCATGGAAGATGGAACTAAGAATCTTAAGTTTAGAACTCTGGATCATAAAATATAGCCTTTATATATAGTAACAAAAATGTAATTGAAGTTGTTAGACTGATACAGACATCCAAGCATCCATATCTACATCTAGGGGTGTCCATTCGGGCCCAAGGCCCAAGCCCGGCTCGGCCCGG